GGTAAAACGGTCAATAAGGAATATTACCTGCAACTTATGCAAAATTTGCGCGAAACAATCCGCCAGAAACGCATGGATTGGTGGAAGAATGAAAATTGGCGTTTGCACCATGATAAGGCCCCTGCTCACACATCGTTGGTTGTGCATGAATTTTGGCCAAAAACAATGCACTAGTAATGCCGCAGCCACCGTGTTCCCCAGATCTGTCCCCATGTGACTTTTTCTTGTTCTCGAAACTGAAGAGACCCATGAAAGGACGATGCTATGCTACGATCGAGGAGATAAAAGCGACATCGATGGAGGAGCTGAACAAGATCACAAAAAAAGATTTTTTGAAGTGCTAATAATAATATATGGTGGGGATTACTTTGAATATACATATTCAGAAATAAATAAATAAATTTTGAAAAAACATAAAATTGGCAATACTTTTTGAACAGACAGAATATATGTATAAATGCTATTTAAATACATTCTAAGCTACAAATAGGATGTTCTTAGGATGACTCAGGCATGTATTCAAAAAGAAGTGTCTAAAAGGCACGAATCTATGCCCCTCATGGTAGGTAACACTCCGGACTGGATAAAACGATTTCTTTAAAGAAAAAATAAAATGAATAACAAAACAGTAGCAAGAATTGAACATTATAAATAAGTAGATCTTCTAAGAGCAGCATAAATTCTTGGTCAGTGATCTGACAAAATTGCCGGTCATGGATCTCATTAAATCTCATCACCATAGACGATAAATCAAGGACCAAATCGAAGAAACTGTTTAAAAGTAAGTTGATATAATATCTAATTAAGACAGCATCTACATCGAGGAGGAGGGAGGAGAAGGAGGAGGATGAGGAGAAGGTTCAGAAGTGTTACTGCTTTTTCAAAACATGACTATTTTGAAGCAGTTCCATTGGATACTAATGATGTTACCCCTCATTTATTAAATCTGCAATAATGCAGACTAATTATACCATAAAATATAAGAATATAAAATTACCAACGAATCGCCATCTGGTGGGTATTTACTGCTACTGAAGTATTTCAAGCGTTAGACAAGTCTCTGCTGCGATTTCTGTATTTTCAACTGAATCGACGACGTAGCTTACATATGTACGTGATAGTAGGCAAGATTAGAACGTTTAAGTTCGCAATTTCAATATAATTTGAACTGACCAAATTGAAGAAACTCGTATGGAGCTAAAATGGATCCTACATAAACTTTCTCCTTAGGAGATTCTTCGGTGTGGTCAGTAATCTACGGAAACTGCCTATGACGCGCTGCTGAGATCTAATAAAATCAAAACCAAAATTATTAAATATAAGAATCATTAAATTTGGGTTTCATTTTTTCAAGCACAGGTATTTTATATGTTTTTGATTAAACGTATATAGAACAGTGAATGTATTATCAAGCCCTTCAATAACTGTAAAATTATCTATATAATATGCATCAATGCATAACTCATCTGACCTAACCTAAATCTAGAGACCATTTGCATGGAAGTTTCTTATGTAACGTATTTAAGTACAGAAAAAAGATTTTTTAATATTCAACCCGTAAAAGAAGTGAGGATGGGGTTCAAAGTTTGGAGTATCGATCAAGGCACAGCCCGAACTGTCGAGTCAAGAAGCACGAAATTTTGCACAGATGTTCTTCATATTACAATGGTACAATGGGTACAATATAAAATACCATACCTAAAAGACGAGCAGACCCGCCGCTAGCCGGTTGAGCGCCCGCGTGCAATAAAAGTTATGCCGTCCAAATCTAGGAAAACATTCCCTGGGAAAAAAATCGGAAAAAGCAACGGAAAAATTTGTACAATGATGTTAATTTACCGCCCCATTAAAGGTGTCGCCCGCGTGCGATGTTCGCTTTGCACGCCCTCTTACGACGGGCCTGAAGACGATGTCAGCTTTCATGTAATTTTCATCATTAGTATAACGAAAGTCGTATTATATTATCACTAGAAATATCTTTAATTTCTCATATTTTCCTTCCTTTATACAGATGTCATTTTTAATTTGTTCTTTTTTCCTCTAAATAGTTACACTTTTGCATCTTTAACCTGAAATTATAAATTGAACGTTTGGCTTTTAAGCAAACAGTTTTGATAGACATAATAAAAAATATATAAAACAATCACTTCATAATGTACTCTGCAAAATTCACATTTGTTTTAATGATTTATTGATCTACGTCCAGTAGTTTTATAGCGATTTGTTAACATTTTTCATATCGCAATGAATAACGGTGCCCATTAAAACTTTAATGTATAAAAATAATATGTGACAAAATATAATCAGTTCGTACAATTGTGTAAACCAGTCGTTAAAACAACTTTAATTACTAATCCAAAATTATTATTATTTGTGAATTTTAGCCTATGATGTATACTTATACGGTTTAAATGTTTTGCTCTGCTTCCATTTGTCGTTGAAAATTTCTCATCTCATTTTCTAACCAATAGAACTTCTATACTTGCGTGATTAAAACATTGTATACCAATCATGAAACATTACCCTTTAAAAATACCGGTCACTTAATCAAAATTTAAAGCATTCACTGTAGAAAATTAGTTTCCTGTAAGGTTTGTACTCGCTGCAAATGATAGGAATGCTGCAACTGTTTCATTAGATTTCGCCACATTGTCGCGGTGGTATACTTCGTTTATTGCCTGTATGCGATGTGACCTTCAGTCTGACCGGCGCAAAGTAGAAAAGAACAGCACTAGGCCAGAAAAGAAAGGAAACAACTCTCGGCCAAACTCTTAACTGGTGAACCGGCCTATAATCCGTACAGTACTGCACGGAAAAATTGACCATTTTATCCACTACAATTGCATTGCTCCTTTGGTACTATTTACTACTGAAAATATCAACGAGATGGTTATTTATATTTAAAGACATATTAAAGGTTTGAATGCTTGTTTTCGACTCGCACTACTATTCATGATTGAACAAAACTTTTGGCAGGTACTGTATGAAAAAGTATGTTTAATTAACAAGAGTTGAGAGTATAGTGAGCTTTTTTTTTTTTTCTCCCTACCTAGGATTTTGCCAGCGTGCATCCAAGGCATTGCAAGGGGCACATCGCTAGAGAAAGTAAATGAAGTATATTTTGCTTGTATTTACATTAGGTTTGTTTTCTATGAAATAAAGGAATAAAAGTATTAGAACTTCTGTGCAACTCGGTAGCTTGAATAAATCTGTTTCCCGGTTTCCATTCTCCTCTCGTCCTCCCTAAATGGCTCATGAGAGAAGAGGTAATGTCGCCCACAGTAACAACAACAACTTTTTTACAGTGATTCACTAACGCAGTGTCAATAACTGATAGTGCTAATTACTAACCAATTGAATGCAGCGTTTCGTTGCCTTATTTCTCTTTCAGGGCCGTACTGACCCTCGTCTATACCTTGAGATACGTTTTTCTCAAGAAGGGTAAAATTTCGAAACGGCAAACATCTACTTAATTTTATAGTTTTAAGGTACCCTTTCGTCTCCTGTAAGCTCTGCACTTAGTTCAGTTACATCCTGTATTAATTAACTAAATTACGCCAATCAAATGGTAATGAAATTCATGCACGGAGAAACTAAATTTTTATTTCAACGCAAAAATTACAATTTTCGATTGTAAATGACTGAGTTTGCCGTAAAAATAGTATAATTTATTAGGTAACTTAAAATAATTTCAATTTCAACATGTTTTTTTAAAAATAATTTCAAGTTTCTTTATTATTACAATTTAATTTGTAATATCAACTAAAATACTTAGTAAATTTATTTCTGCTGGGATTTTATTTTCGCTTACGAAGCAACGGGCTAGTGGGATAAATTATAAAAATCGCTTTAATATTTAGGTAAATTTTCCTTTTTCGTTTTCTCCGTGTAGAATTCTAATAAAGTTCATTGTTTTTTGGTTTAAAATACGCAAAGTTAACGAAATGTAGTCTTATTTCTTCAATTCGTTCAATTATAATAATAAAATGCCTCAATAATAAATCTTTATTGATTAAAATTAAAAGGAATACTTGCAAATTGTCTATATGAAATCTGATTTTAACTAAAGTAAAAAATCATTTACGATATGTGCTCGTAATAAGCAATGTAGCGCAAGGATATTGCGGAAAATGACTAATTATACAGTCCATGCATTATTTTGGTAACTCAAGCGTTACGTTATTCATACACGCCGGAATGTGCTATTTTCAAATAACATACGCTCCGCCACGATCGCAACGCCCTCACACGGAAGGATGACTTAAAGCGTAAACAAGTGTGTATCGCTCACAAATCGTTATAATGGCATATTGACTAAATTTGTCATAAAAAGTACTTCCATGGTAATGGTTAAAGCACCATATAGGCGGTAAGTCCCATTGCTTCAAGAAACAGAGCATTAATACGTATGTAGGTGAATCATAGATAATAATATGATACTACCAATGCCATTGAAAAATTTAGTATTAGGTATTCGTAATCATTATTAATAAATAATATAAAAATGTAAGATTAAGATTTACTACGAATTCAATAAACCAGTCTAACTTACGCGGGTGATCGCATAGCAGTCCGAAATGGCATTTAGCAGGTTGACACATCTTAAAAACATGAAACAAATACCGAAGTTACTACTTTGCATATAGGAAAGAGGGTAAATGGTAACTCACCAGGAAAAAAAAGCTTTTGAGTGTTTCATTCCCACCAGTCACTAATGCTGATGGGCGGGCAGTCCCTCCAGACTACGCCGGAAGGTAGGGCGGAAGGCCCTCTTCAGCCTCCTTTCAGGAATCGTGGAAATGGATGAGTGGTGGTGAGAAAAATGAGAAGAACGAAATGAAGTCAGAAGAGAATGAAAGATTATCTGTGGAATATTACTGATGATATTCATCTATAGAGCGTAAAACCTCAACATCCCATCATAAATACTCGAAAAAGATAAATCAAGAGCATAACAATTGTCATCACTATTTGTTCATCTCACATTTATTTACACTTACCATTAGAAGCAACAACTCGGAAGCTCTTAGTTGGAGTAGATGAATTAAATCCTTGTAAATGTATTGATCGACCATCAGAACTCCAAGAGTAACTTGGCAGATTAAAATTACTGACAAAGATGAACCTAACATTTTGGTAGTACTACCGGATTTGGAAACTAATTACTTTACTTAAAATCTGTATTCTAAAATGCTGTGAAAAGTTTAAAAGATTTAAAACGCATTCGAATACTCAGTAGAACGCAAGAGCACAAATACGTCTTAAACCATTTTAATAGCATTTTAGATCACATTAATGAACTGTGTGGATTTTAAGTAAAGCTTCAAAGTTTTCAAATCTGCTTTAAAAATTTCTATGTGATCACCTTTGAAGTAAGGGTATGCACTTGAAAAAGGTCCAAAAAAAATGAAATGTTAGTTATTGTAAAACTATAGATCCGAGTGAGTCAAATTTTCACGCAAATAATTTAGATACATATTCATAGCTATTACCTACGTCGTGCATAACAGATGTCATAACTTTAATAAGAGCTAATGTTTTTATGGTCCTTACCAAATTGAATCATCATCATAACGTCGTCAGTCCTAAGACTGGTTGGACACGAACCTCCACTCTTTCCTATCCGGAGCTAATCTTCGCATTTCCCTAAAACTAGAACAACCCACGTCCTTAATTATTTGCGAACAGTAATTTATCCTAGGTCTACCTCTGCTCCTCCTAACTGCCGTTTATGTCTCTAATATGTCTCTGACTAGACCTTAATGCCTGAGAAGGTGTCCTACCAACCTATCTTGCCTATTTCTTATTGACTTGCATAGAGTCTTTTGTTCTCCTATTCTTTCTAATACCTCTTCATTTGTAACCCTTTCTATTCACGTTATCCTCACTATTCACCTATAACACCACATTTCGAAAGCTTCTAACTTTTCCTTTTCCGCCACACCCACTGTCCATGTTTCGCACTCGTACAACACTGCGCTCCAAACATCCAAACATACGTCTTTAACAACCTTTTTCGAATTTCTAAATTAACCGTTCGCGAGCATAGAAATGACTTCTTCCTATGGAAGGCAACACGACCCTGCACTATCCTCTGATATATATCCCTACTACTCCTTGCTTCCTGACTCATCTGGCTTCCTAGATATCTAAAATCAGCCGCTTCTTCTAATTTTTCGTCTCCTATCTTTATATCCGCCCTTTGCCTCTTTTTCTTCCCTTGCATACCAGTATTTTAGTTTTACTTTTATTTATTTTCTATAGAACACGAAGAATCAAAGAATAAAACATTATACCCTTATTGGTATCGATTGTTCTACTGTTTTTTGATCCTGTTAGAATATTTTAAAATTTATGTATTATCTTACAAGTTACTTTGTATGAGAAGCATTTAAGAACAACGTGTGGATTTTCAGTAAATAATACCTATCGTAGGAACATAATTATTTAAGGCGACCGCGTTCACCAGTGAGAAACGCGAATCCTTAAGCAGTATCGAAGCCCCTTGAATTACGAAGCTTAATACTTTAAAGAAAAGGTATTATACTTTACTACAAGGCAATGAAAAATGAATTAGAGGCAAGGTGAGATTCATTTGTTTTTTAATTCAAACTTTTTGAACAAAATCACGTTTTGGTTTTTCGAATATATATTTCTCCGAATGGGTACCCAGCTGTTTCTAAACATTTAACACTTTTTACATTTAAGCAAAAATAATGCATCAAATCAAACAATTGTCGTAATAGTATCCGGACCCGCAACAATGAAAATTGTTTCAATCGTGGAAGTTCTGAACGCTGGATTTTATTGACTATCCGTTGCGACCGAGTGTGACTCTCGTCTCCTCCTTCCATCTTTCCACGGTTATCCGAATCAACTTCAAGCTGGTTCGAATAATTTTATTTGACAATTTAACGAAGTTTTCCACGACCGCAGGTATTGAAAAGTCATGTATTTTAAGTTCTAAGACTAATAAAGCCCTTAGTTAAAAAACAACCCTGATATCCTTATATTTTTATTGTAATCTGAGTTCAACTTTGCGTTGTTATAACTTCGGTTCAAATTAGTGTATCACAATTTTCTTAGAATTACATTTTTGACTAAATAAAACTAGCCTAGGAAAAGTCCAACAACCCTGGGCGAAACGTTGGCTGTGGTTTTTTAAATACATTAAATTTAAACCCCTACTATTGCTATAATCAAAAATAATTGAAAACGATTATAATTCAGTCTATCTAATGTTTACTGAAACCTTTTCTTAATTACCGTGTAACACTAAAATGCCTACTAATTAGTATATGACCGATTCAGTTTCATCATCATCATAAGGTCGTCAGTCCTAAGACTGGTTGGTCACGCATTTCCACTCCTTCCTATCCTGAGCTAAACTTCGCATTTCTTAAAACTAGAACAACCCATATCCTTAACTATTTGCGGACAGTAATCTAATCTAGGTCTACCTCTACCCCTCCTAACTTCTGTTTCTGCCTCTAATATGTCTCTGACTAGACCTTCATGCCTGAGATGGTGTCCTACCAACCTATCTCACCTATTTCATATTGACTTCAATAAAGTCCTCTGTTCTCCTATTCTTTCTAATACCTCTTCATTTCTCCTTTCTTTATCCACCCTCATCATTCGCCCGTAACATCACATTTCGAACACTTCTAATCTTTTTTCTTTTCTGCCGCGCCCACTGTCCACAATGATTATCTTTTTCCCTCATACAAAACACTTCAAAGAAAGTAAACATGAACAGAGAACCTAATTTAACTTATAAGTTTCAGAAACTATCAATCCACTTTTATTATTATCAATTCTAAATTGAATTGATAATACTTTATAGAATATTCCATTACATTAAATTATACCTCTGTGATTTTGGAGGAGACCTTGTTGTGAAAAAACTATTAAATCAATATTTTAACTTAACTCTGGAACTAAAGGAGAATTAATAATGTTTCATAGCCAATTCTCTTACAATCAGTTTGTCTTCAGCGATAGTACGTGAAAAGTATGGTACCAACTTTGGAGATGTAGGCAGGTACATTTGTCCTACAGTTACAAGCAAAATTAGATTTTCCATTCCACAAGCTTCCTCTAAGTCGCATTTTCGCCAAACTTTATATGGACTTCAAACTTCCTTAAAATGCAATCGTTCCATTTCCTTGGTATTTTATCGCCACGTTGTAGAGTTGCCAACTAACCGCCCTCGTTTGTTTTAAATGGCTTCTTATTCTTTGGATAAGAAGTCGAACCATTATAAGGAATATCTTTTAAGCAGAATGCTTTATTTCGGACCAGTTATCTCCTTGTTAAAAGTTCCCATTTTCATTGAGAAATAAATTTCATTATTCCTTAAAAATATTTAAGGATTTTGAAAAAAGGAAATAAGTAGTTAGTTGAAATGACCAGAGCGCAAAAAAATTAAGAATTATTTCATTTATTACGTAAATACATAGACATATACATACATAACACATACAAATAAATATTCATACATACACACATACTAGCGATCTTGACCGACTTCGTATGGGTGCAATTTCTTAATATGGTGTCTACAAAAATCATCAACAAATGAAAAGCGAAACTGCGCCCGGTAGTACAGAAACCTGTGAAAAAATATTATGCCGGGGAAAAAATTGATACCTTCATTAGTGACAAAAAATCTATAGGTATGTCTACAATTTAAACATAATTTCAAGTTTAATAAAAGTAAGAAAGCTTGAGTAATTACGAATAAAAATAATGCATTAAAAGTTTTTTAAAAATGTAGGGATGAGTTACAAGGATAGAAGAGTGATACTTAGATTGTATAAGAGATGGGGCTGCAACGTAGAGAAGTACATATTAGGAAGGGAGTCAGATAGGGATGCACACTGTCACCGCTGCTTTTTAATCTATACATCAAAGATGTAATCAACATCATTAAAGATAGTACAACTCTAGGTATAGATATACAGAGGCACAAGATTAGTATGCTTAAATTTGCAGATGATATAGCGGTATTAGCATCTAGCAAGAAGGAGTTAGAGATAGCTTTAAATAAAATGGAAGCGGTATTGACAAAACAATACTGTATGAAAATAAATAAACGTAAAATTAAAATACTGGTATGTAAGCGAAGGAAAAGTAGGGAAAGAGCGAATATAAAGATAGGAGACGAAAAATTAGAAGAAGTGACTGATATCTAGAAAGTCAGATAAGTCAAGACCGAAGGAGTAGTAGGGATATAAAGCAGAGGATAACTTAGGGTCAAGTTGCCTTCAATAAAAAGAAGTCACTTCTATGCTCGCGAGCGGTTAATTTAGAAATTCGAAAAGGGTTGTTAAAGGTGTATGTTTGGAGCACGGCGCTGTACGGGTGCGAAACATGGATAGTGGGCGCGGTGGAAAAGAAAAGGTTAGAAGCGTTCGAAATGTGGTGTTACAGGCGAATGATGAGGATACAGTGGATTAAGAAGGTTTGAAATGAAGAGATATTAGAAAGAATAGGAGAAGAGAGGACTTTATGGAAGTCAATAAGAAATAGGCAAGATAGGTTAGTAGGACACCTTCTCAGGCATGAAGGTCTAATCAGAGACATATTAGAGGCAGAAGTGGGAGTTAGGAGGGGTAGAGGTAGACCTAGATTAGATTACTCTTCGCAAATAAGGATGTGGGTTGTTCTAGTTTCAGGGAAATGCGAGGATAGGAAAGAGTGGAGGTACATATCCAACCAGTCTTAGCACTGTCGACCTTATGATGATGATGATGAAAAGTTTTGTGACATACTGCTGTTAATTTTGAGTTTAAACGTCATAACAATTCAAAATTATTGAATTAATTTTTGAATAGGTACAACACTCTGCAGCTATGAATATTCTGCGGAAGCGTTTGTAGCTGATTCGTATTATTTGAATGTCTAAAATCGAAGATTATAAATAGATCCCCTTTCTACATTATACCTATATTATAGACAACAATTAGTCCCAAGTTAATTCCATTGACTTAACATTAACTTATTAGAATGTTCACAAACTCATTCAAAATTTATAAACCTATCTGACAGTGTATTCATCTATATAATTTGAATTAATTTTAGAACGACCGATTTTGAGAGAATGTTTTGTCTTCTGAATAACAATTGA